AGTGTTAAAAAAAGTATTTTAATAAATAACTTGAATAAATAAATAGATAAATATATAATATAAAATATTATGTAATATAAAATAAATAAATAGATTAATTAGAACCCCTACACCACTGTATGATTATTGTCAAGTGTCATGAAATTTAAATTTGGCGCATTTGCATTTCCGGATATGTCCGCCATCAGAGGCCACTTTTTTGGTCTCCTTTTCATAACGATTAGATTCCCTCTTTTGTCTTATTGCTCGATGATAAAAACTGACTTTTATAAAAATACTTATAACTGGGCCTATATCTCGTAGGAGAAGCGTCTTTGACACTTTAGGGCGTACTGTGTAGACGGTATTTATTATTCCAGTAATTCACAAAGATCCGACAATTTCTAAAGATAGTAAGTACATTGAGAGTGTTTATTTTTTTTTCGTGAGTAAGTACACAGGGCTGCTGCAATAACTTGTCAAAAGGTCAATGGCAATTACCAGTTTCTAAATTTAGTCAGTATCATTATTTTGTACAACTTAAGACGAACTACGAACTAGAAGTTCCGTTCGTGTAGGTATATCCGATGTTTTGACGGTTTTCTGAACGAAAAACTAATTATTACGTAATTTATCCAAGACGTTTAAGTTCCTTTTACTTTAAACTGGTTAATAAGGTAACAAATTTCACTTTATAATATTTTATAGTTAAATCCGTTTTAAATAATTTGGAAGAGAAGAAATATATTAATTGTTGAAACTTGACACTCTTCGAACTTGAATATAGGTACACAGATCAACAAAATCTATGGCTAATTTTTACCAAACTCTTTTTTGGTCTCTTATTTTTGTTCAAAAATGATTGGATTTTTTTTGTATTTGGTTAAATTGAACATAAAACAGTCCGCAAAATATGGACATTTAAAGAAGAATGAAATAGAAACTTTACATAATGTTATAGGCAGACTTTGACAACGTATTTGTAAAGCTAACAATATGCGAAATATAGATTTAAGCCGACAAGGCTTAGAACCTTAATCCGAGACCGTTTTATCGCTTTTCACGCCAAAAGAAATAGTCCTCTCAATGCTAACGAGTTTTTGAATTGAAATTAGCTCAAAATGTAACTGTGAGTGGTCAATTTATGAGAAGATATCTAAAACAATCTAATATTCATGTCAGACGACCACTTACGATTTCCTCCAATATCAGTCGGAAATCGATGGGCTAGAAATGTGGAGCCTCAGAGCATTTAAATTCGATTAATGAACAATGGTTCACAGTTACTATATATTGCAGAGCCAAGTCCATAGATGTTTTGTTCGTACTCTTATGGTATGAAATGGTGTAGTATTGAAGAAAGAACTGATCTTAACCTGTGCTTTTATATGCAGCAGCTATTGACTAAAACGAATACGCAATTAAAGAGGAGATATGTTGGCGTCTTTATTTTTTAGAAAAGCAACTAGTAATAACAAACACAATTTTCAAACTCCTGAAGTATCAAAAATGATTGATAGACCATGGTCGTATCTACAATAAATGTGAGGAATACCTGGATGACACTCAGTTTGGTTTCCGTAACGGATTTGGAACGAGAGAGGCACTGTTTGGAATGAACGTACTTGCTCAAAGATGTCGTGATATATCTGTAGACATATACTGTTGTTTTATGTGACTTTCAAAAAGCATTTAATCTGGTTAAGCACTCTATACTGATCGAAGCTCTAAAAGACTTACTCTTGGACGGCAGAGATGTTCGAATAATTGCAAATTTATATTGGAATCAAACAACATCAGTTTTAGTAGATGGTGTGGAATCGCAAGCTCTCAATATTAAAAGAGGAGTACGGCAGGGATGCCTCTTGTCACCCCTGCTTTTTCACGTTTACTCCGAAAGAATTTTCAGAAAAGCGCTTTCTGAAAAACAAGAAGGAATACTTGTGAACGGCGAAGTCATCAATAATTTGCGATATGCGGACGATACAGTACTCCTAGCTTCTAGTCAAGAAGATCTGCAAACACTACTTGATAGTGTCGTTGAGAGTTGTAGGGAGGCAGGTCTTGATCTGAACATAAGGAAAACCAAAATACTTGTAATAAGTAAACAACAGAATATAAAAACCGTCTATATATATAAATAATACCAAACTTGAGCAAGTTGATAAAATCGTCTACCTTGGACAGCAATTAAATTGTAATGCAGAAAATCACGGCGAAATTAGATCCAGAATAGAGCAGGCTAGAGCTGCTTTTAGAAGGATGTCCAAGGTGTTATGTAACAGAGACCTAAAACTGGCATTAAGGATCCGCCTACATCGCTGCTACGTGTTCTCGGTCTTACTTTATGCTGTCGAGTCCTGGACTGTGAATAAAATCGATCTAAATCGCCTTGAGGCTTTCGAAATGTGGTGCTATAGAAGAATTTTAAAAGTTTCCTGGGTGGAGAAGATTCGTAACTCCATAATACTTGAACGTCTCAGCAAGACTACTGAGATCATAAAAAGCATCAAGCAGAGAAAGCTGGAATATTTCGTACATGTAATGAGAGGTCCCAAATATAGATTGCTACAAAATATCATGCAAGGAAAAGTAGCAGGCAAACGCAGTCCAGGACGAAGAAGAACCTCATGGTTGAAGAACTTGCGAGATTGGTATGGTGTAGATACAAGCATGCTATTTAGGGTGGCAGCTTTATTTAAAACGTTTAGTTAGCAGTAGACTTGTTAAAACTTCAATATATTAATATTTAATTTTTTTATGGTCTAATATAAATTTTTCCTTATAAAAGATGCTATTTGCTGCTAGGTGCTGAAATTCCAGTGAGATAGAGGTACATATTTCTCATTTTAAGTGACAAAGAAATTCTCATATCATCCTTTTCAACTCGTAAATTTTATTCATAGAGGAAGCAGCATATTTCACGCGTTATCTGGAAATTTAGTTTGTGAACGACATGGTTTTATCTAATTAACCAATTTCCTCTTAAATTTGTAATAACTATTTTCTAAATGAACCAAGACCATTCATAAGTGGCAACTAAGAATTTTGGTCAGAGGTAACGTGTCCAATATCAAATCTTCAGAATTCATATCCGAAATTGGACAGTACATTTTTATCACCCAGTAGACTGAATGAATTTATTTGTTATTAAATACACACACGTAGTTAATTAGGTTACATACGGATTTGGTCAATTATCAGCAATATAATTTGGACATCAGTCAAAAGTGCTGACAAAGGTAAACAATTTACATAAATTAGACACACATATCACGCGAGCCCCGCGAATATATTCACCTAATTAAAACTTATATAAAACTAATATCTCTTGCCTAGAGAAGCATTCAATCAATATTCACTCAACAAACTTGATAGTCTTCAGCGATCAACTGCAACAGTCTCTACTCAAAGTAATCCCGGGTCAACACCCATAGTGTAGGTCTCATCAATAAACTCTGCTACTATTATTTGGTGTTTCCATTACAACTGAACGAACATCTCCACTGAGCCAACGAAGGGGAATTTGTTCACAACGTATAGGTTCTGATAATAAGTGTGATTCTGGAAGTATTTGTCGTTGTCGATATTAAAAGAGAAAATGCAAGAATAAAAAATCCTTCACGAGCCTTACGTACTTCTCGGAAACCCATTTCTCTAATACATCTCCATAGTTCTTGTCTAGACTCTGTCGTACGCCTTCCTCCTTCTGCACTCTTAATCTGCCGCATGTGGGTCAAGTTCTTTGATGATTTGTCCCTTGCTTTAGCAATGCTTGTATAACCTTTTCATCCTCTCGGATGTTTTTAACTCTTCATACAGCTGTGCAGACATATTTCCTTAGCAGTAGCTACAGCGCGCTATGCTTTCCTCTTTGCTACCTTGTATATATCCTTAATCGATATATTTTTCGATTATATCTATCATGGGATGAATCGTGACTTCTAATAATTCTATAAAAGGCCTCTGCGATTATTACGGTTAAACCTATAGTTCAGTTTAATACTATTAGAACAATAATATCAAATTTAACTAATTTTCGTGTTGAACCGCGTGTAATTTGAGAATATCAATATTTCAACTTTTTCTCTTCATGAGTCTCCTGAGCCCCCAGCTCACTTCACTGTTCATTGCAATACCGTACACGAGTAATGCAAGTGAGCTGATGCAAGGAAGCCCTGAAGACTTCAGATTCAGAGTGAAAGTCGAATGCTCGGTGCATCCAAATCGGACGCGGTTCAAACCGGAAACTAGGTGTTTGATATTATTTTTTCTAGTAATATTAATTAAATTAAAATATATATATATATATATATATATATATATATATATACATATATACAAACTCACTGCACTGAGGTTATCGTTGAATAAGCAAAAAAGCTAGATCATAATTGTCTTTTGAAGGCATTTCGCGCAGATTTCCTTTGGTTTCTCTTAAATGATCTACTTTATTGCTATCGAAAAAAACGTGGACTAAAGAAACTTTTGGGATATTGATCATAACAAATCTCATCTTACCAGACCTCATCCTTCTTTTAGATGACCTCTACAGAAAATATAATAAACGATAATGTCCTTAATTTAACAAAAAGTTCGCGTTGAAATGTATCTTTAATTGACTTTCTTTTAGACAATTTCGCTTAAGATGTATTGTTAGTTCGCCGATAAAACTAAACTAATATAAATATAGATTGAAATGTAATAAAATTGTATTAAAATCACAGTGTAAATAACGAATATTAAAGCAACTATGCTTTCGTGACCAAATCACACAGATTTTATGGCCTATAATTCGCAGCGAAAATAGAACAGTAATCGAATCGGTTTTTAGTTATTTTTCCAAAATAACTTAAAGAAATCTAATACGACCAGGAAGTCAATAGCATCCAAACAAATCATCGAAAGGAATGTGTTAGCACAATTCTATTAGTTTTTTTTTACAAAGGCGGCTGAATTAGAGTACTTCTTGTTGTAAAAATCATTAATAAAAATAAATAATTTATAAATTTTTGTTTCAGATTTTACTAGTATCAAACAATTCATTATCTTCCCTGCCTGACGAAATGTGCCGAATGTCCCAGCTGACGGAACTGGACGCTTCTTGTAACCAGTTGACCCATTTACCTCCTCGTTTGGGCGAGTTGAAGTCACTCCAATCTTTGGTTCTCCGTAACAACCTCTTGTTAGCCGTGCCAATAGAATTGACCTATTTGAAGTTGGTGAGGCTGGACCTCAGAGCCAATAGGATCAGCAATCTTCCCATCGAATTAAGAAATATATCGAGTTTAATAGAGTTGTTAGTTGATGATAACCCTCTCACTAGTCCTCCGGCGAGTGTAAGTATTCTGATTTTTTTTTGTAATGTAACACTTATAACATATCTCTATGCGAATAGATGCCAAGGGTTGCCGAAATGAAAACCCTAAGAACCATAATAGTGGGCAAAACAAGAAGAGACAGGGTGAGAAATACAAACGTTAGAGAGCAGTGCAAAATTAAAGATATTGTAAGATGCGGAAGGTAGCGTAAGAGGATGTGGTACAATCATGTAAGACGTATGGACGAGAATAGACTCCCAAAAATTGCCCTAGAAAACAACCCGCCCGGTTCAAGACCTCCCGGAAGACCACCTAAAAGATGGAGGAATAGTTGGCAATCTACCTCCCAGTTAACCAGAGCCAGCTTCAGAATTAAAGAGATCTCCAAGAAGTAGAAGAAAAAGACATAATAGGTCCATTTTTTATTGAGGGCAACTTGAATAGTAGAGTATACCTCGATTTGTTACAGAATCATGTTCTTCCTGATGTAAATCTGGAGACTGTTTGGTTTCATCAAGACGGCTGTTCAATTTACAACGCTCGAAAAATTTATTAAGTACTTAAGCAATACTTTCCCGAATCGAGTTATCAGTGGAACAGGCGATATTAAGTGGCCTGCGCGATGTCCACATCTTACACCCATGGACTTCTGTTTTTGGGGACATTTAAAAAGCATCATCTACAATCTACAAAATTTGGATGAATTAAAAAACCGAAAACGAATAAGAGAAGTCTCCAATTTGGTTGTAGCAGCAACTCTTACATCTATCCGCAGAAGTTTTTATGACAAATTGGGATATTGTTCAGCCGTAGAAGGTCAAATATTTGAATCATTTCTGTAGGACATAAAGATTGATTTCTTATTTTATTAGGACTTTTTAAAGATAGGAGTTTTATCTTTTTAAAGATAATGCATTTTTATTTTTAATTCAACCACAAAAAATTGTTACTAAAAACCGATACAAATGCACCGCTTTATAATGGTCAGTGTATTTTTATCGAGTTTATGCCATAAGAAATGAACTGGGTATACGTAAGCAAAACAAAAACCGACGGACGTAGATGCATATCCCTTGCGTTGTTATGTGTTACTAAATGGTTTTTGTTTTCTCGTTTTCTGTCTATGAGTCTAAGGCTAAGGTGCTGGAGAGGATCAGAGAATTACAATTACCTCATACGAGGCAATAAATAGACTGGAGTATACATGGAGTCTAAATATTTGAGGTACTTTTAGAATAAAAATAGTAAAATAAAAAAGGAAGTTAATAAATGAATAAAATCGAAAGAAATTGGAACAACATAATTGACATTTGTAACGTTACAAGTATACATAGGACCTATGTACAAGAGAAGATGGGCTTAGAAATTAAGTGTATTAAAAAATACTGACTCGATGATATGGAAATTACAAACAGTGTTTTGTTTTAAGATTTATCAATAAACATTACTTTTCATCATGTAACTCTGTTTTAGTTTTTTTTTAGTAATTTTATACTTTAATAAATTTGATTTTGTCTTACTTTTTTAGTTGTGCAAGCGTGGCAGAGTGCATATATTCAAGTATCTAGAGTTAGAAGCATTAAAATTTGACAGGCGACCGGATTCGAACGGTGGAACGCTAGGTAGGAGGCCGAGAAGAAGTGGTGCGGGTTCATCACCAGGACCTCTACACCTTACCGATAGACTGAAACACAAAAGGCATAATGTAGATAGCGGTTACAGTACAAGTAGTGATTGTTATGACAAACGATGGTCTCAGGAAATAACTAGTAAGTATCTATATTTATTTTGAAGTTAATAATTGTAATACATATTTGATTTTTGTTTAATTTTAATATTTATATCGATTTTAATTTACCCCATTCGCTGCGAAATTTGCGCTTTTTTTTAATTTTATAACGCTTGCAGGTCTATTTTATGTTCTGAACTTATAGAAAAGATTCAAAAAATTCTAAAACTTTTCACAACAGCCCTGTGTCTAAAAATTGTTTTGTTCCAATGTTGGAACATGGCCATAAGTATGTTATAATGTAACGTAATGCAACAACGTTAATTTAAACTTAAACATGTATGAATAAAAAAATGTTAACATTTTGAGAGGATTTATATATTTTCTTCATAAAAAGAGAAACAATTAAGTGGATGTAAATTAATTGTAGTACTAATAGCCGACACGTGGAATGCACTGAATACGATTATTGAGAAGCTATACACAGAATCCCTAAAAAAGGACTAAAAATGAATTTCAGCAAAACTAAACTAATGTCAAGTCAGGAGATATGAGTAGACGAGGCGCACCTGCGGTAATATGCAAATGGATAAGGGCATCCCTCTACGATTAAGAATGCTGAGAGGCTATGTATTTAACACGCTATTATACGGTGTAGAGGCCTGGACTCTCAAACAGAACAACATGAAAAATATTGAAAGTTTCGAGATGTGGTGCTACCGTCGAATGCTGAAGATTAATTGGGTTGAAAGAATAACAAACTGTGAAGTAATACGAAGAATAGGAAAAGACCCAGAGATTTTGTTAACGCTAAAGCGAATAAAACTCGAATATTTTGGTCACCTGATGAGAGGACATAAATACGCATTACTTCATAATATAATGCAGGGAAAAATAGAAGGAAAACGGAATCCAGGCCGGAGAAGAATGTCATGGTTGCGGAATTTGAGAGAGTGGTTTGGCTGCACCACTAATGAACTCTTTAGGTCAGCCGTAAACAAGGTCAGAATAGCCTTGATGATTTCCAATCTCCGATAGGAGTGGCACAAAAAGAAGAAGAAGAGAATAGGATAGTAATGTCCACTCTGGGTAAAGCAACTAGCAAAGCAAAAGTAGGTGGAGGCTGTCCACAAGGAGGAGTTCTGTCCCCTCTACTTTGGGCAACCTTGGTAGATGATCTCCTCAGAAATTTGTCCACAGAAGGCTTCTATTGTCTAGGATATGCTGACGATATAGCAATCGTCGTCAGGGGCAGGTTTGCTCAGGTGGTGTCTGTGAGAATGCAAGCAGCCCTAAATATAGTTGATAACTGGTGTAAAGTGGAGAGACTGATAGTCAATGCTCAGAAAACACAAATCGTCAACTTCACCAAGAAAACAGCACTACAAGGCCTAAAACCACCGGTGCTGGGAAGAACAGAGATTTCATTTGCCAAAGAAACAAAATACCTGGGAGTATATTTAGATCATAGGCTTACATGGAATACTCACATTCTAAAAACCACACATAAAGCTACTATGTCCCTGGGCAGATGTAGAAGAATGTGCGGTAAGAATTGGGGACTTAACCCCAAAATGACTCTATGGTGATACACAAGAGTTATTAGACCCATGATAACCTATGGCTCGGTTGACGTGGTGGACAAAGACGCAGCAAGTGGGAGCAATAAGGCTGCTAGGTAATACCATTGATTATAAACCACTACCATTGGTAGTGGTTTATAATCAATGGTAATATGTACACAAAGGCTAGCATGCCTGTGTATTAGGGGGGCCATAAAAACAACTCCTACTGCATCGTTGGAAGTCCTGTTGAATTTACTACCACTTCATATCTTTATACAGGGCGAAGCCAGATCAGTGATGCACAGATTAATCCATAGTCAGCGACATATAAGCCAGATGCATGGTACTGACAATAGAAAGCTAATCGAGGAGCTAAAAGCCGATATTGTGATGGGGAAACCTATCGATGCAACAGCTACTAGATATAGCTTTAACAATAAATTCACAATTAAGATACCAGGCAGGGAAGACTGGATTAATGATGTACCCATAAAAGCTGCTGCTACCTGGTACACGGTAAGTCTATCTAAAGATGTGACAGTTTTCCAGGCGGAAATAACTGTAATCTATCACTGCGTGGAAGAAATAGAAAGGCAGGAAAGAACGTTCTGTTCAGTTGCCATCTTCACAGATAGTCATGCAGCGCTTAAGGCACTCAATTCTGTAGAGGTCAATTCTAAGCTAATATGGGATTGCGTGTGTGCCCTAAATAAACTAGGAGACCGTAGCAAGGTTACGGTAGCCTGGGTGCCGGGGCACGAGGGTCATAAGGGCAATGAAAAAGCAGATGAAATGACCAAACAAGGCTCATCAATGCCATTCATTGGACCGGAACCCTTCTGCCGCGTTGCAAAGTCAGTAACAAGAACGGCTACAAAGAAGTGGAAACAGTTCATTACAGAACATTCTCCAAAATTTACGGCAGACCTAATTAGCAAAGACAGGAAAACAGTGAAAGCCATAGTAGGTCTTCTAACAGGTCACTGTAAGCTGAATAGGCACTTGAAGCTGATGGGATTATCAGATGATGACCTGTGCAGATTCTGTCACCTCGAAGACGAAACAGCAGAGCACATTTTATGTCAGTGTGACAGTCTGGCTAATGAGGGTCAGGCTAGAGAATGTTATCTAGGACTAGAAGACCACAATAGACCTGAAAATGTCGCAGTGGAATAGGCCGAGAGGCCACCTCTCTTAATTTAATCTAATCTAAAACTAATGTCAAACAAAGATGACAAACCTATGATACACATTGAAGGGGCAGAGATAGAACATGTAGATGAATATACATATCTGGGCCAAACTGTCAAGGTAAGCAAAGAAAATCAGACTACCGAAATAAGCAGACGTGTAAAAATGGGATGGGCAGCATTCGGAAGACTCTCATACGTACTTAAAAATAAAAATATACCTCAAAGACTGCGAACCAATGTGTTTAATTCCTGTATCCTACCTGTGCTTACATATGTAGCTCAAACATGGACATTCACTAAAAATAACATGGAGAAGATCAGAAAATCTCAGAGACCTATGGAATGACAGACATGGAAATGGGCTGGACATAACGAACGTCTTACGGATGGCCTATGGAATAAAGAAATCGGGAATTGGCGGCCATATGAAGCCAAAAGACCACGAGGAAGACCGCAAATGCGATGGAGCGACGATATTAAAAGAACTGCAGGGCCAATGTGGAAACGTCTTAAAAACAACATAGATCAATGGCGAGAATTAGGAGAGGCCTATATTCGGCAATCCGAATAGAGAAAAGAGCTTAAAAAAAATTAATTGTACAGATACCGGATCCAAAAGTTGTGTTTTTGTACAAATTTTGCATCTGTTTTGTTTGAATGAGATAATGTAAAACCGATATATTTTGTAAAAAAAGTAATGTAAGTCCCAACTTTGCCTTATCTGGTTTTGGTTGTTGGAAGTTGAGTAGTAGATATGTTGTCACAATGTTTCTTATAAACTCTAATAAATTCAATGGAAATATACTTTCAACAAATTCATCAACGTTTTTTTGGGGTTTTGAAGTCTATATAAACTCCATGAGGAACCTCCCTTATGAGAATTGTACTGCTGAATTGTCTAGGGAACGTTCTACCGTTATATATTTTCTTTTCTGCTGCAGAATAACGAAGTATCGATTTTGTAGGTTGAACACCATATCAATTTGAATCCATCTGAACGATGACATTATCTTATCCATTGCATAATGATTATCTTCATCAGAACTTCAACAGACACCCCAACTAATTTTTTTATTGCGTTTTTATTCAACGCGCATTTATGCGGGTGACATTTCTTACGCAGATAACCGTGGTGTTAATAATAATAACAATTTACACTTAGAATTATAAAGTAATATAAACAATAGTATTATATTTGTATATGCACTATGTTTATTTCTATTTACTAAATTTTTATCCCTTTTTAGTAAGAACAGGAGACCAAAATGGTACCCAATCAACCTTATCCACACCTTCAACATTATCACCAGCTCACGAATCAAACAATGATGAGGAAGTTGGAAAAGTTAACGAGTTAGATAAAGTCGACGGCCTAAAATCCAGAGAATATGCCAGGTTTGTATTTATGTGTTTAAGAGTTTGTCTATTTTACATGGATGTCTGTATCAGTGACGTAACTTGATTTTGCATGTTTTACAGTGTACGTCTTAGTCCGTGTCCTGACAGTTTTTCTAACAGTAATGGAACTGATGATAGAAAACCTTTACATCAAATTCAAACCTACAGGTAATTATTAGTTTAAAAACAGTTTTAGCACTTTTATGTCTAACCATAAAAATACAATTTTAAAATAATTAACCAGTATTAATTTTACTATAATTATAATTAATTTAGGATTAGGTGGTTACATAGACATATAATACAAGATAGGCTGATCGTTGCAATATCAGCTCGTTCCCCCAGTGCGACAGAGAAAACTGACCGCAAAGCAGTCCCTGCATCTCTTTCCAATTTGTCAGGATTACCGATGACGTGACCTAAATGACCAATGAGAAGGGCGCGTGGTCAATAAACCCGGCCCATTAGAAAGAGATGCAGGGACTGCTTTGCGTCAGTTTTCTCTGTCGCACTGGGGGAACGCGATTGTATTGCAGCAGTCAGTCTATCTTATATTATATGTCTATGGGTGGGTACATCATACCGAACGTAACATAACCTAACCTCTACAAACAAGTGAATGTTCTGACATTTGTGACGTTTTAGGTAAAATTATAGTTCCCTTTCACCAGAATGTGGTTCTGGTGAATATATCTAGCTATATAATAGATTGATTCAAAAATTACTATTCTAACATTGCTTCTTCTTCTTCTTGTAGTACCTATCCGTTTCGGATATTGGTGACTATCATGGCAATCTGTATTTTGCTGTGGCACTAAAAAGATTTGTGGTTGTTGGATTGAACCACGTACGTAGAATTTTCAGCCAGAAAATTCTTTGCCTTTCTGGTCCTCGTTTTCCTTCTACTATTCCTTGAAGAATTAATTGCAGCAACCCGTATCTTTCGCTGTTTTTCATGATGTGACCGAGGTATTCAATTTTGTCTGTTTTTATTGTGAAACTCTTTTCTTTTTGGCATTCTTAATAAAACGTCCTGGTTTGTAACATGGTCGGTATAAGATATCTTCAGGATTCTACGATAAAGCCACATTTCGAAAGCCTCAATTTTCTTACAGGTAGCGTCTGAGAGTCCATGCTTCAACTCCGTATAACAATATAGGAAATATATAACATCTTAGTAACCTGATTTTTATGGATACTGATAAATCGTGACATTTGAATAGCTTATCCATTTTTTGAAACACAGATCTTGCTTTCTCTATCCTAGATTTTCTTTCTAGAGAATGGTTCCAATTTTCATTGACGTTCATACCAAGGTGTACCATTGATACATTGCTAAACATCCTTGTTGATAGGGCTTCCCAACGAGGATGGAAAAGGCAGCACATAAATAATGGTACAGAATACAAATCTATAAATAAGAATAAGAATAATAGCCAATCTCTATAGAAAACAAGTAGCCAAGATTCGAGTAGACAATCAATTATTCAATGAAGTCCGCATACGAGGAGTACGACAAGGTTGCATACTCTCGCCTGTGCTGTTTAATGCATACTCTGAACATCTATTTAGAGAAGCTTTGGAAGAAACGTCCGATGGCGTGATTGTTAACGGTGAAGTAATAAATAATCTAAGATATGCAGACGACACTGTCCTTGTTGCGGATAGTGCTGAACAGTTACAAAGACTGATAGATCAAGTAGTTAACATCGGTAGAAAATATGGAATGAAACTTAATAATAAGAAGACGAAAATTATGATCATAAGCAAAAACCAAGATACAGATGCAAAGTTTATGGCAGACAATGAGGTATTGGATAGAACGGAAAAAATATCATACCTAAGATGCAACATCACAGACAGCTGGGATCACTCATACGAGATTAATAAATGTAGGATCGAAAAATCAAGGAGTGTCTTCCAACAGATAAAGAAAGTTCTCTGCAATTTAACCTTGAACTTACATCTCCGACTCAAAATCCTTTATTGTTATGTGTTTTCTGTTCTTATGTATGGAGCAGAGGCCTGGACACTCACTGATGCGTCTTGCAGACGGTTGCAGTCTTTCGAGATGTGGTGCTATCGTCGCATGCTTAGAATATCATATGTACATCATATAACTAACGACGCAGTAATGCAACGTTTACAAAAAGAACCTGAAGTCTTGAAATCCATTAAAGAGAGAAAGTTAGCATACTTCGGATATATAGTGAGAAATGTAATTAAATACAGAATCCTACTATTGATATAAGAAGGGAAAATAGAAGGAAATAGAGGATCAGGACGACGCCGAATATCCTGACTTAAGATTTTGAGACAGTGGACTGGTATGACCACCCCAGACCTATTTCGAACAGCTGCTAATAAAATACGATGGACCATTGTGGTAGCCAACATCCATAGAGGATAGGCACTAGCAGAAGAAGAATATAAATCTGAAAATCTAACGTTACGGCAGCCAAACCTTTCTGTATAATGTATAAAGTTAATGAACATATAAGGACGACCCAAAATAACGCAGCAAATTAAGATTTAGTCATTATGGAAACAAGGAAAGATGTATTGAATAGATGGGTGGAATACCTTAGGCACTTAATATGGAGGAAGAAGAATAAAACCTGGAAGTGGAAAGAGATGAGGTAAGGGGAACAAACGAGAGGGAAGAGGAACCACCAACTATTTTTGAAGTTAAAGATGCAGTTAAAAAACTTGCCAGAAACAAAATACTCGGAATAGATAATCTCCCAGTGGAACTATATAAGAAGGTGGCCATGATACGATTATGGCATTACAGCAGCATATAAAAGAAATATGGACACAGAAACCCTCCCCAATGATTGGAATATTGGAATACTTTGCACCATACACAAAAAAGGAGATATCTTTGAATGCTCTAACTACAGAGGAATTACGCTTCTAAATGTAGCGTATAAAATATTCTCCACAGTACTACGTCACCGTGTGGCACCATATGCAGAACGGATAGTAGGAAAATACCAGGCTGGTTTCAGAGGTGGTAAATCTACAATTCATCAGATTGCAATCCTGAAACAGATTTTGGAAAAAACACTAGAATATGGCATTGATGCCCATCAAAAATTTATAGACTACATAGCACCTTACGACTCTGTGAATAAAAGAGAAATGTTTTAAGCAATGAAAGAGCTGGGAATACCAAATCTGTTGGTAAATTTAATAAAACTAACTCTTGGAAAAGTTGAATGTAGAGTACGAATTCAGGGGGAAGTGTCTGAACCTTTTGACCCTCTCTCCTGTATACTGTTCAATCTGGCTCTGGAGATTAAGAAAAGTAATACGTATGTCAAATCACAACCACTGGTTCAATGTATAATAAATCAGTGCAAATCCTGGCCTATGCTGATGATATCAATATTGTTGGGAGAACGGAAAACGCTGTACGAGAGGCGTATGTAGCATTAAAAGAATCAGCTATAAAAATGGGTTTAATAATAAACACCAACAAAACGAAGTATATGAAAATAAGCACGCAACCACAAATCTTTCGACCACTTGTTATACAAAACGACGTCATCGAAGCAGTGAACGAATTTGTATACCTGAAAGCGCTCCTTATCACTGAAAATAATGCGGAGATAAACCGCAGAATTTGCACGGCCAACAGATGCTATTTTGGACTCAATCTCCTCTGTAAATCCACAATTATATCGAGAAATACAAAAATAAAACTCAACATAACAATAATATGCCCAGTCCTAACGTATGGTTCGGAGATCTGGACTCTAACAAAAAATAATGAAAACATGTTAGGATGTTTCGAAAGAAAAGTACTAAGGCGAATCTAAGGAGCAGTGAATGACAGTGGAGTGTGGAGAAAACGATACAACAATTGTAAAGCCTGAATGATGATGATGAGTCATTATGGATGCTGACGAAAAGAAATGCTCTAAGTACAACAAGAAAGAAGGGAACAGTTCGATCGTTTCGAAAAGAAAGTAGAAGAGTAGAAGAGAGATATCGCGTATTGAAACGGAATTTTAGATATTCAACTTCATAAAAACTTTTAAGCTTTGAGGTTACCTCATATTTTCCCAAAAGTGTTTGTCAAGTTTACAGGCGTAGCGACGTTATGCATTTGCGTTTCTAAAAAAATATATACAAATTATAGAAATCTAAGGAATTAAAGTTGTTTTAGCCGGAACACGGTTAATCCGTCACTACCCAGGGGTCTTCTGGTCTAGTGTCCTACTCGGCCGAAAGATGCCAGGGTGTCTTGTTCCGTGACGTAGATATCCAAAAAAGATTTCCCCCACCGTTATCTGTCAGAATCAGATACCTTCTTAATCTGTTAGTGGAATCTGGAAATACGGCAATAAAATTAACTAAAGGGTGATTACTTTCGTAACTATAAATGTTTTTATATTTTAGGGAGTACAAAGAAGCCTTAAAACAACAAAGAGCACAAGACGTGCCTTCTATATATAGGACAAAGGACGACCAAAGTTATAAAACGGAACCAAATACCCCAACCCATCACGTAGCTCCATCTCAAACTCTAGCCACCTCCCGATCTGATCCTACTCCTCTAAATTCCGCCTTTAGTAATCCCAAAACAATTTTCGACGATACTAGTCCCACCAAAAAGCCCGTGCAAAAAGTTCAACCCTCCAGAACGTATTCTCCAGTCCACATGAATGGAGTAAGTGATAATAGAAACGGCTCGCCGAAAATAAGCAATTACGTCAAACCGAAATCACCCATGAAAGGATCGTCAGACATAATGTCACACGATAATGTGCCTACCGTTAAATCTGTGATTACTAATGGAAAGAGCTCCCCCAAATTGGGATTCCATTCAACGCCGAGGAGTCCGAAAACTACGAAGAGTATTAGTTGGAACCACGACGCCAATAATGACAAACTGTCATTTACCATGAGGAGAGAGATAGATAAGGCGAAGGAAGAGACTGATCTTATTAATCAGTTAAGAAATGTAAGTTATTTTCTCTTATTTTTGTTATTTGACGATTGCACGATAGACAGACAATTTGTCTTAAATTGTTATCAATTATCTCTGGACGCTTACGTTACGCGTTTTATCAAACAACCTATCATATTATAGTGAAGGATATGTTTTTTATGTCATTTTGATTTATTAATTCTTTTAGTTGGATCAATAATAGTTTTTTGCAGTATGCCACTTTTTGATTCGAGCGATATTTATAATAATAAATTTATTATTATTATTAATAATATACATTTAGTTTTTTTGGCATTGATTATATATTATACCGATAATGTTTAAGATTTTTCATTTTTCCCAATTATACTACAAGAAACTCTACACCATACAGACGATTTTGTCTTATGTTTAATTTTTTATAGACAATTATATCAAGACTACTGTATTATATCATAAAGTCCTCACTAGATACAGTACATCAATTATTTAAAATTTAACGAATAATGTATTAAACCAACATATCAGTTATTTTATTATTTATTGCAACAATGGATATTACATTTTATTTTATTTAGTACACATTGTCAGTATGTTGACAACATATTGACAATTTGGTCGCACGAAAGATCTAAATATTAAAAAATTCAACAACATTAAATTCCATCCACAAGAGAATCCGAATTCATACTGAAACTAGAGTTAGACAACCAAATTTTTTTTGACGCCATGATCATTAAACGTAGTGACGGCTCCCTGGAACAGCGTTACCGTAGTTAGACCGATCCACACATATAGGTTTTAAAACGCCCTCTCCTATCATTATCGAGCGCAAGTGCAAGAAGTTGCCGACACTCTCATTACAAAATCCTTACGGCTAAGTGATGATTATCAACAAACCTCTAGAACGGATAAATTTTAAGCACACCTTAAGGGCTCTTGTTAACGAATGTGTTTTTCAGTGGGTAACGGGCCGATGCTAAACGGGTACCCGATATGTGTCCGTTGACAGTATGAAATCTCCAAAATATCGTTAGTTTTAAAGTAACAATTAAAAAACATAAAAATAAATGAATTTGTGCATTCGGATTTATAGATCACTCAATATATGACGTTACATATATGTAACGCTAGGAGCTAATGGGTGCAAAAAATACAAAATATAACTGCAAACAGTTTTATTTATTTAAATACGGAAAATAAAGAAAATGGAATTTAAACATTTTGGTTTGTATGATAGGTAACGAAACAATCGATACAAAGACCTACGTTACATTTCCTACATATCGTGCGTGTTGAACTTTTGCAAGATGTTCCAGCACAGCGCCTTCTTTTGTCGTTTGGAATTTTAGCCACTAGGTGGTCTATCCTATCATATCTAACTTCATCGGCTGCTCTTTGCGCATTAGAAGATGGAGATGGAGTTCTGCCAGTGCCTTTGGGCGGTGACGAATATTTCTTCAAATAAACTTTCACGATAGCCCTTCGAAAATCTATTTGGGACATCTGAGAGTTGTTTGATTTTCGATACAAACACCACGCGTTATTGACTGAAACATCAAGAAGCCATGAAAACAATGCCCAGTACCATTTCCTGTTTCTAATTTGAATCCTGTACTGTCCAACGTTCTGATCCATTCGATCAGTACCACCCATTTTTTTGTTATATGCTGCAAATACTGCTGGTCTGCTAACTTGTATGTGTTTTTTTTTCTTTTTGCGAATAACGTCTAACATTTGTTATTGGATTGATACCATATTTATTGGAAGCAATGCAAACTACGGAATTATCGGCCCACTTAGCTACTAGTACAGCATCTGTCTTACTAATAGCACTTTCATAATATCCCCTTTCCTGTTTGTGAAGATCTTTTTTGGCCAATAAAGGGCAGCTCCTAGGTAAACGATTTTCTCTTATAGTCCCCGTGCCTCCGTATCCTTTTAAACGTAAATAAGACAATAAACTGAATGTAGTAAATAAATTGTCAAAGTAAAATGAGAATGGAAAAGATTTTAGATTATCAGGTAGTTCTTCTATCATTTTCACCAGTGGTGCTGCCGCTTTTCCAAAGTTTCTTTCTATGTCAATATCAGGAGTTACAGATTTTCCTTGATATATCTCGAAATCAATCAAATAGCCCATCACTGTATTTAGGCACCAAACTTTATAACCAAATCGTATGGGTTTGGCTCTTAAAAATTGCTTGCAGCTATGTTTACCGTAATATTTGACCATACTTTCATCAAAAGCCAGATCTTTTTCAGGAACAAAATACTTTCTGAACCTGTCTTTCACTTTATTTATAAATGGCCTTAATTTCCAGAGCTTATCACCTTTATCAATATTTGCGTTAGAATTCAAGTGAATAAGCCTCAAAATTTGCTCAAACCTGTTGCGTCTCATAGAATTATATATAAGTTCGTTTCTGGTGTCAAGACTTTGCTCCCAATACATACGTTTGCTGGGAAGATCATTATAACCACTGAGAATCAGTATAGCAATAAAACATTTCATTTCCTCTGGCGAGACTCCTGGGTCGGGTAGGTTGTTAAAAGTAGCATATTGATTTGTTTCCTGTACCAAAAATAAAATGATTTCTTCATCTATGAACATTTCGAATATATCTACAACTGATTTGTTTTCAAACAGTGAATAATCTGACTCAGGAAATTGTCTCTCGTTATATGTGAAATCTCCCGAAACCCAATCCCGGGCTGCAGAAACTTTTGGATAAACCATATGAGCAGGTGTAATATCGATATCATTATTTGTCAAAGAAATGTTACGTTCTGTCGATTCTGGCGGTTGAATAGAATCATCTTCTCCCAGTATAATTCCATTAGTAGTCCTAACTTCTGCATCGGCAAGTAGCTGACGTTTGCTCAAATTGTCCAAATCTCCGCCCTCGTCCTCATCTCCGGAATCCTCATCCGTCAGAGTAGCCGGATCCGGTGGCGCTATATAAACTGCCTCTATAGAGTCATCTATCCCGTCGTATTCTCCAAAGGCTATATCGATAGCTTCTTGAACAGTCAGGCCTCTTTGAAGAACTGCAGCAAGGCCTCTGAAATAAAAAAAAACAACTTAGTAGGTACATACTGCATTTTTAAATTTCCTGAAGTCCTATAAACACTCTGTATACTAATATTTCGAAAAATATTATTAAAAATACCATACAATGAAAACAAAATACGTAATACATCCGTACAAAATAACTGTAAAATATGCTTACATTACATCCTAGCGTTACAAATATGTAACAGTCAACTTCCTAACCTAGCAACTTTTTTATTTGAAAAAATATCAAAGCTTTTTTACACAAAAAATATGAATTTATATTTACTTTTACTATTTGTTTTCTAATATTAACGTTATTATACAAAATGAGATTTATATACTTACTCTTTATCGACGAAGTCCATTATTTGAAGCTTTATTTGTTTAGTTATACTTTATCGAGGCACAAACTCAAAACAAAGTTCTAATAAAATAGCACACTTCAAACGATGTAAACAGTATAACCTTCTGACAAGAACTGACCTGTTTTCGACTGAAAATTTGCGACGTATGCAACAGAGGATCTATTTAGATGGCACCACTTTGCCGTTACATAATTGTAACGCTAGGCACTAATGGGTTAAAAAGCGGAAACATTTTGAGTTGATGATGTGATTAGTATTAAAAGCATAGTTGTCAACTATTCATTTATTAAAACACTACCGAGTGAGAATGACAACATTAGGAGCAAATGATCGTTTAATGATCCAAACATTAGGAACAAATTTTAGTAATATTAAACCATCCCCGTTGGGCAAATAAGCTTGACACATTGTATACTTAATAATGAATGAAATACAATTAATACCGATGGCCCATATTTTTAATGAAAAGATTGTCTGCACTAAAGTGGAGGATATATTATTACGATACTCAGGGTCAATCCAAAAAGCTAGAATAGAGAGCAAATTAAATAAAGCAATTTACAACAGACTGCCTAACTATCTATTCATGATAAAAAGCTCAAATAAAGGATATATTTTAACAGTAAACGTTAAAATGTATTTGTTTTGTAGTAATAATGGCAGTAAATTTGTAACGTTTATTAAATTTACGAAGTTCTATTTATGTTCGCTATTTATTTCCTGGTACAATTGTTTCTTAACTCTAAAATACACACTAACCTCTACATAACGAATACCGGTCTTATATCTAGATAATAATATTCCATATCAGTTGAAATCTTATCAAAAAATGTAGGAAACAATGTAGCTTTAGAGGCGAAGTCTTTTGGAAATAATAGTAGTAGTAATAGTTGTTGTTGGTAAATAACCAATTATTTATTTGTGTAATAATTTTAGTTTTAACTTTATTTTAGGTAATTGAAACTAGACTGAAAATGGCTTTGCCAGAAGATTTGGCTCCAGCTTTGACAGACGGAGTAGTGTTGTGCCATTTAGCAAACTATATCAAACCTAGATCTGTAGCCAGTATTCATGTACCATCTCCAGCAGTTGTAAGTTTTTTTACCTATTTTAATAGAAAAATTTTAACTAGTTTATCATTTTAGCCGAAATTGACGATGGCTAGGTGTAGAAGAAACGTTGATAATTTCATAGAAGCTTGTCGAAAGATTGGAGTAGATGAGGTGAGATTTTTTTAAATATTACACTTTTTATTTCTTCTTGATTTAATATTATTTTATAACGGGTTTTATGATATTTAAGATTTATCTACCATGTATTTTAAGGTTGTAACATATTTTACTATTGGATTGCTTGAGAAAAATTGTTGTTACTGTTTCGATAAGCTTTTGAGATAAAAAGAGCCCTTTACTCTGATTACTAAAAACCATCAGTACAGTTTTTGTTTCTGTGGTTTCACGTCAATTGTAAATTGTTTGTGTAATACTGTTACTGTCAGTGTACTGTAATGAGCATAAGATCTGTTGTGGCGTCGTTTGAAGGTGGTCACGGTCAGCGCGAAACCATAAGATGACCACTTTGTCGTTTCTAGTGCTTTGAGAAACCGAACGGTCACTGCAGTTTTCCTTTGAAATTATCTGCATCAAGTGAAAAATACAAACGTAAGTGAATTGACAGTTAGGAGTCGAGTTCGTGCTGCTGGTTTAACTTTTCGAACTTGAGTAACTGGACAGCTGCTTTCTCGTGAACACTTACAGATTGAATTTTGCACGAGAACACTTGGCTTGGATAATACAGGATTACGGGCCCAGACAAACGTGTAAGAGCGTGGCGACGTCCAGACGAAAGATCTGCTCAAGCATGTGGTGCTGAGGGACTTCCATGTGGTGGAGGGTTAGTTACCATGGTACAATGAACACAAGGTATTATACATAATGTTCCAAAATCGGTTCGCGTCGCGCATGACGTAGCCAAGACCGCTTCTTCACGCAACATTTGAATGTAGTTGTATAGGAAAGACTTTTAATTTAATTTATTTTTTTTATATAATTTGGCTAATTTAATTATAGTAATTATAAAGAGAGGATAAAATTATGTTATTATGATATTTAAACCTAAATAAAATTTTGAAGTTAATTTAAATTTATTGATTTTTAGTACAGTTATTTTGTTAACATAGATATTCTTTATAAAACAAGTTTTAATTATCTTTTACTATACTTAGGTACAGGTTAATCAATGTATACTCCAGAGTTTGATATTTTAGATGTTTAAAAAGATACAAAAAAGTGGTAATGAAGATACACAAAATGTGTACGTATATACTGAACTTTAAACACAAACTCAAATTAAATAATGATAAAGTCAACTTATATCAGCATAAATCTAAATTATTTTTCTATTATAAAATAGATGACTCAGTCAGTATTGAGTTACTTTAAAATATATTTATTATCTCATAACTTGCAACTTGCAATCGCCACCATTGATAACCGATATTGTCGAACTTTTGTTTTTATATAAACCTTCTGTCTTGCCGGTGTGAAGTCTTCTGAAGTCGATATTTATTGTGTTTTGCGTTTGAAATAATTTATGCCTTATTTTCATATTATTATATTGTTTGCTAAGTAAATTTTGCAAATAATAATCGTTGGGTTATAGTAATGTGTATATTTTTTATTTTACTAAATTTAAAAATAATTAAATCTAAAATACCATATTGAATTATAAATCAGATTTTTCTTTATTGTTGTAATCTATTTTTTTTTATAAAAAAAAAACAGTGAATGAAAATACGCAAATCTACTACTATTTATTTATACAAAAAGAGTGCGTATATTATTAGTATATGTATGAAAACAAAAAGAAATATTTCGCCTGAACCCCCAGAAAAAGTAAAGGTTTTACGATACTAAAAATATATTTTTTATTCAACTATAGCCAAAACAAAACATTTAAAAAATAATTCGATCATTTTTTTGACCATAATTTCAAAATTAATGTGTAAGTTAAGCTATACTAATGGGTTCGAGCTGTCTTGACTACGTCACACTCGTGGGCCAGCTGTCAAATGTCATGTGCAATATCATACCTTGTATTCATTGTACCATGGTTAGTTACGGCATGGGAAATCATAATCGTTTGACGCTCGCACGGAGTTAGTCCATGGCCTGGAATCTTATATGAATGACTTGGATCATTCCCCCATCACTTTGACCCCAGCGAGTTAATAAAGAGAAATGACAGCCTATCTCTCTCACGAAGACTTTAACCAATCATAAACCAAATAAAATAATCATACGACGCAATGTCAATTCTGTCAATCCAAAGTAATGACAGATTTTCCGTTTGCTACAAAAAATAATAGTATTTAACTTCTGCAAATATGTGTAATAAATATTATGTAATTATTTTATAACTGTTTCATCTTAAACAACAAATAAATATACATATATCTAAAAAAAATGTGCATCTTTTTTATATCTTATTTTCCAATAAATTTTAATTAGTAACGAAATAGCCCACAAGAGGCGCTAAAGGGTATGTATGTAAGGGGTGTTCATTCGAATTTGCCGCCAAAAGATTATTAGTATTGACCCCAGCCGCAAGGGTCCTAATGAACGAAATTTATACATTGAGTTGCCTATCTATTTCTACTATTATATTATTTATCTATGGAGTTAGTCTTTATCGAGAATGGGATATTGACTACGGGTAGGTAAAGATAGTGCAAACAAAAAATGTATTTAAAATCCTTTATAAAAGGTGTATAATAAAATGCCCAAACGGGCTATCACAAAGATATTGCAAAACGTTTTCGGATTATTAAATCCATCATCAGTGCAAACGAGGTATACATGCTATGAGCCACCAAAATATATGGGTCCAAACCCTTTTAATGATATAAATTTACATTTGCATTTTACCTATGTAGGGTCATACGTCGCCGTGTTACCAATTCCAACGGTAACTTAAACATCATAATTTGTAACCACATATAATGTAAATCAAATGTAAATTTATATCATTTAAAGGGTTTGGACCCATATATTTTGGTGGCTCATAGCATGTATACCTCGTTTGCACTGATGATGGATTAAATAATCCGAAAACGTTTTGCAATATCTTTGTGATAGCCCGTTTGGGCATTTTATTATATACCTTTTATAAAGGATTTTAAATAAATTTTTTGTGATATATGGTATACAGACAGCTACAGGAACTTAGTTTCCTAGTGGATTTTTAATAGTGCAAACACTCCTGACCATGGAGGCGCGCGAAGGCGGAGTCAAAATTCACGTAAAGACAGAAAGGTTCTATTTTAAGTGGAATTATACAGTGCATACTACAATGCGTTTCGCATGGAAGTGGGGACTAAACCAAATTTCGTCTACAGCGCCGTGGTCAAGAGTGTTTGCACTATCTCTACTTGACACAGATTCTAGAAGACCATATTTTACCGTTTATGGTTATTCTTGGAGATGACGCAACATTTATGCGTGATAATGCAAACCCCCACACTGCTCGGATAGTTACTGAGTATCTTAACATGGTTCCACAGAGGGCTTCGCGACAAATTGTTGCAGAAATGGAACAATCTTTCGCAGAATGTGATCCAAAGTATGCCTCGTCGTTTGCAACCTGTTACAAATGCCAAAGGAGGAAATATTCACTACTGGAGCTCTTAAAATTTCTTTTGTTTCAACAAAAAGCAGATCAAATTAAAATTGTTCATTTTCAATATTTAGTATATCAAAGTATTTTCATTACTTTCAATAAACTTTGAAGTACAAAAACGTTGTTTTCTTTAAGCATTCCTTTAGTAAATTGTGTTACAACCGAAAGTAGTTAAAAAAGAATAATAATTTCTAAAATAAATTCAAATTACGGCGTGACCCTAATTTTATGCTCAGCAGTATATATCCGTGCTATGATTTCTCATTATTCAAATTGCATTTTTGAGGTGTTATCGAAATATCGTGCAACTAAATCTCACACCGAATGTGTGAGATTTAGTTGTGCGCTAGAGAAAAATCGCTATTTTGCTATATTAAACTCAAGTCGGAAATCGTTCACCATCAAATACAATGGTAGGAGTGGAATGAAAGAGAAGACTTCCGAAAGAGCTTTTTAAAAGAGAATGACGCTGAAGGAGGATGAAACCATGGTCGATAATAATGATAAAGAAACATCCGTAGCTGAACTAACTGCAGTGGTGAGCAAAGCCGATGAATTTGAAGAAATTATTGAAACCGAGGTTGAGATGTGGACACAGTGTGACAAAGATGTGCCAGGTTATCAGCTTCTCAGCAACGACGATATTGTCAGACTAGTTTTGAATCAGCCTAGTACTTCGCTACATGATTCTTCCGAAAAAAAGAATCAAGTTGAAGAAAATGATAGGAGGGTATCAATCAAAAGAGTAAGACTTAGTGTCGATCTTGTCGACATTTTGGACTTACGCAGAATACGTCAGAACATTAAAAAAATCGAAGACTTTTAACTTAGGCCAAAGTGTTTGATTTTTTTTCAAAAGCAAAGCTACATAACATAACTGCTATATGTAAATGCTAATCTACAACCTTATGTAGTTATTATTATTCTGTTTAGTTAAAAGTTTATTTATATAGAATTTTATTTTTTTTGTTATATATATATATATATATATATATATATATATATATATATATATATATATATTATATATTATATATGCAATGTAAAAGTTAGTTTGAACTTACGAGATTTATTTTTTCTCTCATTGTATGGTACATCATATGTATATATGTATGTACAATATAATTTTTTCATATCTTCCATAAAAAACTTCTTCCTGCCTTAACCCTTTCACTCACGGCGTCCACAAATGTGGACATACATTTCTACGCGCTCAGTTGTACGAAATTATAAGAGTATGACTGTTTGCTCATGTTGTCCACGTTAAGGGACCTCTAAATATTCCTTATTCATGCACTAGACCCCATCTGTTGGCAAGTAGAAGAAACGATCGGAAAAGTTTTAGTAAGATTCTGGCCACTGTGCAGACATCTATACCGCGCAAAGAACAGTAATTTATTTTTAGACTAGGTGACTCACCCACATGTTGTAAAAATTATTATATGTTCGAAAAGGTGCATTTTTGTGGAATACGAAGTTGTAAGTGGAATAAATTGATTTTTGGCTTTGTATTCTTACTGAAAAGTGACGTCCTCACTTGTGGACT